CTAGACTAATACAGCTCGTGCACTAGTTTCTGCTTTGGGTCACTGGTTTCCCTCTTTCTCTTTGGCTCTGGATGAGTAGAGACCAAGAATAGTATCTGAGATCCCTGCGCTCAAGCGTTTAAGACCCTAGGCCCTACTCACCAAACTAGGACGTAGAATGAACTTTATGAACTATATTATGCCAATTGACTGAGGTCCCCTGTGAGATTATGATCTTCCTTGAGGCTATATTTAACGTGTACAAATAGGCCTCAAATGTCAGAATCTGCTTGCTCATTGCAGGACATCAGCTTTTTCTTGGCATGACCGCCCATATTGTATTTCAGTAGGAGTCGCTGACCATGAGTGACGTCCTGGCTATTTGCTTTGCAACTTTTAGCCCTCGAGTTCCTTTACTTTTGGGCTGTTGCCCTTGACATCCTTCAGTATCTTGACCACTGATGTGCTGCTGCCGCCAACGGCCTCTGAACTGCACGGACACCCTCTATATCGCCAAGGTCCCCACGGCGCACAGCCCCCTTCTGCACGTGCAGGAACAGAACTCCTGGGGAGCATAGTACTTTGTATTCTGTATCTGCGGCATCAGAGCAACCGTGATTCTGATGGCTGGCTCTTGGGAGGGTTTCGATAGCAGAGTGGTGGGTGTCCCGGTGACAGCCATGTGCTCTATTCTGCCCTCATTCCTTCCCAGGCACTTCTGGTTGATTAGGCAGATAGTGGGGGTTATTGGATAGTGAATGCTGTCGCTTTGCATTTCTGCCGATGTGGCTAGGAGTAGTGGATTTATTCCTCTGTGAGAAGAAATACATCGTCTAAGTTCAACTTTCAATGACAAATTTCTCTTTACTACTTCTTTATTTTTATTTCCTGCTTTCAATGGCCCTGACCACATCCTCTCTCTCACACACACACACACCCTCCTTCTGCTCCTCAGTGTTCTGATCTGCATTGTACTCAGCAGGCCTTCAGGAGCTGGGGTGGGTTTACTTGGTAAACTACCTGTTTTTTCCTCAGGAGTTGGGGGGTGGAAAGCAAAATCCTTCGTGGGATGATCCCCTCGAGAATGAGTGAAAATGACCCTGTGGGAGCGCACGGGCCACACAAAGGGCGAAGGTGCAGGTGGAAGCAGGATGGGGCAGGGAGGCTTGCAGGCTGTGGCAGGACTTACGGGCTCATCATGGAACTGGCTCTTGTTTCCTTCTTCTCACCTAACCCCTTATAGCGCTGGTCAGTTGTGCGCCTGCGGTGTGGGCCAGCTGGCTGGTTTCATGCCTGTCTGCTCCAGGGCACACATGAGCTGGGTGCTCTTTTAAATGAAACTGGAGTTAGCAAAGCTGGGCTCCAGGTATACGTATCCTCTTCCACAAACACCCTTTCTTCAGAAGACTGGGATACACTTGGAAGGCTCAGGGAGGGGGCTCTGCAGATCGTTGTAGGAGTCCCTGTGCAAACTGTTTCTTGAGCCATCCTGGAACAGAGTATCACAGGCAGAGCTGTTTTGAGGAGAGGAAGTTACGAACTTTGCAATTTCACGAATACCTATTAGGTTGTTGCCCAAAGACAGGATCTGAATGCAATTTACAGGATCTGTTATCCCATGTGTCCGTTTTTGCTTTTAGTTTAAATTTTTAGCCTTCCCAGTAAGTGTAAGCAGATCCCAGAAGGAATGCTAGATTGACTTCCTACTTCTTTAATCTCATCTCTGCCTGCTCCGTCCTCTCTCTGACCCCGGCCAACTGGAGTTAGGTCAGGGATCACAAGGGAAGAGGACACAGTTATTTATACTGTTAAAAAGGCAGGGACCAGCCACAAACTTAGGGAGTCCCCATGACCCCCCAGCCTTCTGACTGGCCACAAATTGGAGCTGATTCCAGCTGCAACCTGGGAGTCCACAAGACACCCCTGCTTTCTGATCTGCTGGGTCCCACTGCCCCTTTGGGTTTGATCCTTTGCTGGAACAACTCAGAGTATCCAGCGTATACCTGGCTCACAACTACAGAGTATTATAGCCAAGAAGGATACAAGTGAAGAGATGCAAAGGTGAGGTGTGGGACGGTTCCCAAGGCAAGCTTCCATGTCCCTAGGGACGCACTGCCCTCCTGAGAGCAGCTGTTCTCACCCGGAAGCTCGAGAAGCCTCCGCGTTCAGAGCTTTTATTGGACAGGCTTGCGTGATAGGCTAAGTCATGCCTCCTCAGGACAGTCCATTTCAGCCTCCGAGGAGAGTCTTCTGTTCTGGCCAGCCCTTTCTCAGCGGCACTGATTCTCAGCTGTGGCCTGGATGCTCCTCAGTTACTGCAAGAGTGATTTCTCCAGTCAAGGACAAGGGCAACTTTACTGGTGCAAAACTAAGTCCCTTATCCCACACATGTAAGTATGGTGAGGGAGTCAGAAGAGGATGGTAACTTGTCATCGCTATGTTGCTTATGTGGCTTCTGTTTCCGTTTTTTAATTTTATAAAGGCCCTATTTATTAAATCTTAACTAGGACAAAGATAAGACAAAGACAGATACCTGTTTGCGGGAGACCATCATCCTAAGGCAATAATGGTGCCCCAGTTTCTGTTTTTATTTTACTTAAAAAAATTTTTAAAAATCATTTTATTGGGGCTTCAGTTTCTATTTTTAAGGTATTTAATTAGTTATTCTAGTGGAGGGGACAAGAAATACATACAAATACTGAGACCAGCTCAGAGGTGACAATAATAAGTGCTATGAGAATTCTAAGGACAGGGCAGATGGAGAACTTGATAGAAAGTACAGCATGACTGCTGGTATCTCTTATGCAGCAGGGATGGGGACCTCTTGACCTGGACCTTCTGGGATGCAAATGGTTCAGAGCGTTGGAAGAGAGGCGTGAAGGAAGGGTGCTTGCCAGGGGGAACCCAAAGTTGCGTGAATGTTAGTATATCTAAGACATTCTGAGGTTCCCTGCACCGTGAGCATGCATCCCTTCCACTCCTACAACCCTGGGAAGCCTCACCAGGAACAAAACCATTAGCTCTCCTTTGTGACTTGTGTTGGAATAGCAGTAGTGGGAAGCATTTTGGGTCCAACACCTGGGAGAAGAGTGACTGCTGTCAGGAGTGGTAGACTCTGAAGGCCTTTGCCACTAGCAGCTGCACTGATGGCTCTGGGAGCCCCATTGCCTGCTCCCCAAGCTTCATTTTCCTCTCCCACATCTTCAATGTAGGATTCTTTCCTCCGTCTCTTTGTTACTAAACCGAGGGGCCATCAGGGCCACTTAAGGAGCAGGGGAACTGGTAGTTAGCACCTGCTTCCTCCCATCCACATGATTCCCAGTCTCCCACAGTGGGAAGGGGATACGAAAGTCCCCCAAACTCACCTGCTGATTCCCGTCTTCATCCCTCTGGAGGAATTGGATGGCTCGTTTTCCAGAGAGTGTTGGAATGATTTGTATAGAACTTGTTAGAAACACACCAGATTTCCAGTTGATGCTCTTTAAATAGATTTCGTATAGTAATGTCATAAGATTTAAGAGGGCAATGGTAGTTCTTTCATACAGGACACCCACGTCTGTTCCCGGCTAACGCATCTCAGGTGCAGGACCAGGCGCTGTCAGCGGAGGCTTGTGTGCCTCTATGATGCGGGTCAGCTTCCAGATCAAGATGTACTAGGAACAAAGGTCTTCTGGGGGAAAAAAAAAACAGCCAGGGAAAACCCTGTAGAATGTGTTGATCTGATGTGCAG